GAGATCATGCAGGAAATAGTAGTTTTACTTAGCAATGCTTAGTGTTACCTATTATTGATGTATTACAATCCATCCGAGTATATGCTAAGAAACTCAAGGGATAAATCGTAACTTGATGTTATTATCGAGTACTTTTGTTTATTTGTATGGAGTTTGATTCGGTATTAATGTTAAAAAGATTTAAAATTACAACAATAAATATTAAAATTTAAAAATAAAAGAAAGTCATTAAAAGAAAGAATTTACTTATTTAGGATAAAATTAGTTTGAAAAGAAAAAAATAAAATTTGATTAAATAGGGATAAAGGAATTCTATCGCCATTTTTTGCACCAAATCCCACTTCATAAAGCAAAAATATTTTTTTAAAAAAGAAAAATCTATTGAAGTAACGTTATAGCATAAGACCAATATCTTTTCTTAGTAAGAACCTTACATTATAAGGGGAAGGAGAATAAGAAGTTAAAGAAACGTTTCCATCATTTAAATTAATCTCTGAAATAGAGCCATCATTACTAACATCTGGTTTGATTTCGAAAGCCCAAAGTATACGAGCAAGAGCAAGGAATAATTGTTTTTGAGCCAAATGTTGACCGATACAAAAACGTCTTCCGGCACCAAAACTCATATGCATAGGCATAGTATTATTAGTTAACGAAGGGCTATTGTTTTTCAATATACCAAATAATGACTTCCTTTTCTTTTCAATAGCAGAAGGATCATATTCAAATTGAGGTAATAAAATACTTTTAGTTTTAACTGAACCAGTTGAAGAATTTGACAAAAATCGAGAAGGACGGAATCTATCAGGAGCGATAAATCTTCTTTCATTATGATTGATGGCAAATAAATTTAATAATATAGGAGTTCCTTTTGGTATAAAATATCCATTATAATCATCATCTTCACTGGACAGATGAATCATACCAAAAGCATTTGGTGGTCTATATCTCAAGGTTTCATTGATGATAGCATTAATATATGGTAAATCAAGTTCATCTTCCATCGTAGGCATGTTTTTATCACATGCACTATCTATTTCTTTAAACGCTTCTTCTTGTACACCCGGATTATTGGCTAAACATGCCACGGTCCACATCAATGTATTCACTTCGGTTTCCATCGCACCATTGAGCAAACCTACCAACATTTGCCATACATCCTCAAATTCCATCGAATTTTTTCCTTTTTCATCGATTTCCTCCTGGATATGTGAAAGGAAACTTGGTGGAAGGGTCTTACCTTGCGTGTAGTCATTTAGGAAATCATCATATTTTGATGAAAATATGTTTTCCATTTGTTGATACACTTTTATTGCCTTCTCATTACTTGGTTTATATACGTACTTCAAGATGGGCTGGAGAGGAGGGAAAAAGAGAAAGATAATCAGTAATTCAGATTTTTTAGTTGCATCGTGTAAATTTAAAATGTCATCGCATAAAATTTACCATGAGATCGTTAAGGATGCTTGTGGGATAAGAGAATTCGGCAATACCATCCATGACCTTCATAACATCCTTTAAGAAAGGGTCATCATTCCCCTTTATCTGTGCGCCAAACAAAATATTTAACATGTTTGTTAAAATAAAACTTTTAATTATTTGTAAAGGATAAATGGGTTGACCATGTTTCATCATTAAAGCTTTAATAAGTTGATCCGAATCTTTTAAGATGTAATTATAATAAGATTTAATGGGACGAGAAGTGAGAGCGCCATAGGCAATAGATCTATCTCTTTTCCATTGATTCCCATAAGGAGTGAAAGCGGTCGAATTGCTTTTAATCAATATCGTATTTAAATTGCTAAAGTTGTATTTTGAAGAATACTTTGAACCCCGTTTCACTATCAAATCATTCACCACTTCGTGATTATTTAATAATATAATATATTTTTGTCCTAATTTGATACTATAAATTGGTCCATATTTTATATTCCATTGATTTAGCTTTTCTAATGGTCGAACTTTTAATTGTAATAAATTCCCTACAATTGGGAACGTTGGAGGGTGTGGTAGTAATTTTTTTTTATTGGGAATGTATAGTTTATTATTTTGAAAGAGAAATTTTATCAAGAAGAAAATTCCCGTTTGTATTAGCAAGACTGTTGCGAAAGAAGAAAGCAAATCGGTTACTATCGACATTTTTCGTTTCCAGATTTCAAGGGGAATTAATCATTCGATAAAAAAGCAACCTGTTGCTTCTTCCTTTTTTTAATCAAATTTTTTTTTTCTTTAACTAATTAGGTTTCTCACTTGGAATTGAGTTATCTTTATATATTACAAAACTGTTCATGTAAATTGTTTTCATGTGCAATTGAATCAACCATTTTTGAAATTTCATACTAACATCAGAATGATTTTGATATACGCGATGAAAAAATCCCGAAGAAAATCTACTGCGGACTTTATCATGAAAATTTTCACGTGCGTGGTTCATCTCCGATCAACATCAATCTTAACGAGAATCATTAAAATTTCCAATTCCAATTCATTTAAATTAATGAGTATTGATGAAATTTTTAATTTTAAAATGGGAAATTATCCTTTTTTAAAAAAAAAATAGAAGAATGGAACTGAAGAATAAAACTGGATAAAAAAAAAAAAAGGATATAATTGAAAGTGAAAATCTGGGGATGATATATTGATATTCTTACGGAAAATGGTAAAACCCAAAAATAAAAAACCTAATTTTAGGTAATCTATTCGGATCCTCGATAACGGAGGTTTGCTTCGTTTATAAAGGGTGAACCATTTAGGTCTTTTAATATTGTTTCTATATTTGTGGTCCCCTCAAATCTTTGATAAATTTTATAGATGGCTTCATCTGATAATAAATTCATTATTATTTCGTATTAGCTCCCTAATTTTTTTTTATATATTATAGCTTTTTTTGTCTTTCTTGCCTTCTTAAATAATTTACCGATATTGTTTGTATGCTTAAAAAAGCAGGAATAAATTCCTTTGTAATATTTTTATTTTATTCCACCAAAAATAATCGCATATGAATTGTCTTTATTTGTAAATTGATAAATATGATGTGTAAAAAAAAAAATGTAACGTTCTATATAGGATTTCTCTAAGTATGATATAGGGATTATCATCAATAATGGTATTATTACGATGATAAATAAAATTTTCTATCATATTAGGGTTATTAGATTAGTAGTAAGAGGTAATACTATCTGAAGAAATTGAGAGCTGAAAGGATTTGTACGACTATATTAAGACAGTTTCAGTCAAGCTGTTTCCAAACGAAGTAGCATATACTTTTAAGGCTAGAAAATTTATCGAAAAAAAGATATGTATATAATGACCTGTGTGTTAACCTTGAAGGAAATATATCGCTTTACTATCATAGTTACGGGGCAGGGACAATGATTTTTTGAAAGTAAATTCTGTGAAATTTTTGTGATTTGACCGGAATTAAGCAAGGTTGGCCAACATTACGATTCGTAAAATTTAGTGCCTGCCGGAATTAAAATAATTGCAAATCATAATTGAAAATTATCAACCAAATTTTGTGATTTCTGTGAAATTCTGTGATCACAAAAAATCATTGTTTCTGTTTCTGTTATGAAGGAATATCATGAAGAAATAGATTTAGTAGCCAAGTTTAAATCATAATAATTGACTAATACGTAATTTATTTCACAATAATTTTATTGGTTAAAATGTTGTTTACATATATATTCATTTTTTTGGCTATTTATTTAATGGTTTTGTTTTTTTTTGTTTTTTTCCTTCTTTGCTAATTTTAAAACATAAACTTTAAGCATTATCTCAACTTTATAATCTTGCAAAATTATTGACTGTATATTTGCTATCTAGTTGCTTTACTAATTAAATATTATATCTTTATATATTTGTATGTAATACTCTCCTGCTGTGAAGAAAAAAATGTATTTCACAGTATGTTTCTTCAAGAAATTTTTCTTTTCAGATTTTATTCAATACTCTTTTTTCTGAACGAAGTATTAATAAAGTGAATAAACTAATTTGAGATAATGATTTTATATCAAAAATTATTTTCTATTATTTATGACTTTTCTTTTAATATTAAAAAAATGCTTCATATTATATAAGGTTTAAATAACATATAAATTATTTTATCCTAAATGAACTTTACCACCTTTATGCAATATTTAAAAAAAAACAATTATAGATTAACCTATATCTGACTAAGTGTAAGTATTTTTTATTAAAATAAACAATATAATAAAAGAAATTTTTTTTATTTATTTTTGTAATATGTATAATCTTAAAATATTATATAAATAAATAATTATTATATGCTAAAATTAATAAATAAACTTCATTTATAAAAATAAAATCAAATATTTAATATTACTTGAAATCATTGATTTTTAATACTAGTTATATGCATTCTTTATTATAAAGATTTAAAGTTAATATATAAAATAATTTTACTTATCATCTTATTTAATTTCTTTTCTTTATCCTTTCTTTAAACAGAAATAACTTCTTCATAAATATATTATTTGTAATATTTTAGTAATTTTTAATAATATCTGAAAATATTAAATTTATATTTATAACGAATCATAATAAAAAGATCAATCATCTTTTTTTATTAAAATAATAATAATAATAATAATAATAATTTTTAAAATACAAATAATTTAACTATAACTAAAAATAAAATAATGCATCTTTTCATTTGATTATTTCTCATAATTAAAATGACGCTCATATATAAAATTTGATTAATAAATATTACATCTTTAGAAAACTTATGTTCATTAATCTAAGCATTAAATACTAGTAATAATAATAAAAAAATCTCTTTAAAACTAATTATAATCAATCTGTTAAATACTACTTCTTCAAGAAGTAATTGATATTAATATTAGAAGAATATAATGTAAATCTTTCAAATATAATATGATTTTTAAGCAAGATTTATAAAATAAATGAATATTTTCATTTTCAAATTTTTATATTTTTTGTTTAAGATAAATAATAAGAAATCTTTTAATAAATTAGAAATTATATTTTAAAGAAAAGTAAATATGTAATATGAAAGATATTAATTATTTTATATTAAATAATATTTAATTTTACTTTTGATATAAATTTATTATATTTCTATTATTTCACTAAATTGTAGATGAAAAATAAAAAATAAAATCTCAGATTTTTCAACAAATTTCAATAGTTCATTAATAATATTATATTGGAAAATTCTAATATAAATCAAAATAATTATACAATTAGTTTTATAAATAGTTTCAAATATTTAATTTATAGTAGTATATATTAACATACTAATCTCCAAAAAATTTGTGATAATATAAATTCCTTGATGACTAATAAGAAAATATAAACTAATTACATTACAAAACACTTTCTCAATTTTCAGATTTGTTTTTTTTTGATTAAGTTACTATAATTCTTTATATAAAATTATAAATTACCATTACTAAGGTTAATATTAGTCTTTCAAATTGAAATTTAATGATAAGTTCTAATTATGAGTATAACTAGAACTATTTCTAATAATAAATCTATAATAGCATAAATTATAAGAAAGTTTACTTATACCAAAAGTTATAATCAAGGCTTAAAATACCATAAAATTTTAGAAAAAGAAATATTACAATAAAATGTTTTAAAAGAAATATTTATAGATATATTATTAATCTTACATAACTATCAACTGCATAATTATTAAAGATGGTCCCTATAATTATTTTCAAATTTCAATTAAGTTGCAACTTAATTGCGCTATAAGGAAATTTAATTGCGTCACAAGTTGCAACTCAATTGCGCTATTTTTTTTAATTGCAGTGACAGGACCCTGAAATTTATATAAAAAGGTAAGGTAACTTTTAGATTTTTTACTAATAGCTGTACACAGGGGTTTTCTATAAGTTCAGTACGCAAAATTACCTTCTTACTTCAGATAATTGAAAAAAATATGCAAATTAATTTTCTAACATCTGATTATCATGTGATTTGCCCATTTTTTCATTGATCAAACGTAATTAATTATTTATTATATTTATTAAATGTATTATTTGATACTATTGTCAAAAGTATTCTATTGTATTTTTTTAATTATATCTTTTTAACCAAAGTAATCATAATAATACTGCTTTTCATTTCTTAGCAATTTTAATATATTTTCTTTAATTAATACATTAGTTGACCCAATATGATAAATAATATTAGAAGCAAGGTGATGAGTTAAAAAATTATACTCTTCTCTGGTTAAATCGCTAAATAAATAATAGATTGGAATATAAACATGTAAAGATATATAAGATATATCATCCAAATCTGTTATTAGCTCTTCAGTATAGCAGTGATTTCCATAAGCCTCAAAATAAACTGCAACAACTCTTCCTATACACATTTGATCACCATATATAATAAATACATAATCTTCCTTAATTAATGGAAAGTCTTTTGAGATATTTGCATTTTCAATATTTAGAAATTTTTAATAAATTAAATAAAAATTAGTAATTGTATTTATATATTAGGATATATAATAAATAAAAGATACTTACTTTGAAGAATATTGTATATTTTTATTAGTCAAATTTTTCTTTTTTTTTGGTTGTGCAATTAATTCTTCAGCATGAAGCTGAGCTAAAATAATTGATACATTTTTATGATTTTTCTTTCATCGCTTTTAACGTTGAGTAATAAATCGTTGTTCTGGATTTTCATTTTTTGGTAAAATAGGTAACGAAATGACTAGCTTTATTTGGCTGAATATTAATTAAAATATCAGGTTTTTTAGAAACTATTCTAAATTTTCGTTCAAGTGGTTTTGAAGTATATGCTTCATATTTTTGACGTTACTATAATAAGATTTCAAAATTCAAATTATTTTCTGACCCATATTGAAATCCAAAATTAACTGCATATAAAAATTATTTAATAAATAAAAAATAAAGATAAATAATAATTAAAAAATTTAAAATTATAATTTATTGCTATCTCTATCATATAAAATAGATAAATCTTTAGAAACTTATATTTGAGTTAGTTGTGAACATCCTTCCTGAAATAAATTTGATAAATTCTCTTCATTATTTTTCTCCATAGAAATACGTTTCATTTCATGATAAGCTTCTATTATTGTTGCAGAAAAATCAGACTCAGTATTTTCA